CCCCCCCCCCCATTAAAATAGGTTGCATAAAAGGCTTAGTTTGATCCTGCAAAATTTTCCTTCACTTTATTTTCTGTCACACTTGAGGTAAAATGGAGGTCAGCTGATGAGCAAGCATCGCCTCACACTAGACACTGAGAATTCAATTTCTTCAGAGATAAACAACAAACAGGATATGATGTCACGCTCTAGGGCTTTTGTTTTTTAAAGGGGTCCTATTACGCTCTTTTGGGGGTGTACTAGAACAGGCTCTCATACTAGGTTGTTTGAAAAACACATTATTTTTCACATATTTTACATTATTACAACACCTCTCTCCCCAGTCTGGCATGAACGGCTCGAATAGTACCTGTATCAAATGAAAGCCCTCCTTCTGAAATACGAAATGTGCTGTGATTGGTTAGCTGGGCCAGTGTGTGTTGTGATTGGCACACACTTGGCGCCTGGTCGGGAAATGTCATGCCCCTTACCATAGCCACCTGCAAAGATGTTATCTCCTACTGCATGCATAGGAATTTTCCCTGCTATCTGCCAAAAGCTTCCCTTATGCCTTTGAGTCAGCTTTTTATTAGATAGATGATCAAGGCTAAACCATCACTATCACATCTGCTGGCCTGAAATGGACAGCTCTGACAAGGTCTGTAAAACCTGTAAACAGCAAGGTGCGTAATCAAACCATACAGGCGAAAAACTGGCATCTAAGGTTGTCAAAATAAAAAGTGTGTTCAGTAGCATATCAGTTTTTTGGAAATTGGTCTTGAGAATTGTGAAAATTTCACTGGTATCAACTACTGAACTTGTATTAAAATTGTATTAAAATTTTAAATAAAACTTTTTAAAAATTATTTTTCCCAATTTTTTGGGAACTTGGTCCTTGTGGCTTGGTACTGAATTATGGTACTTTTAACTTTCCCCAGTTCAATTCACAGGCTTTGCTCAAATTAAAAGAACGCCCTTCAGTAGAAACTGTCTCTTCAGAGTGGACCATGTCCTTTTAACGCTGCTGGAAAAATCCCTTATTGTATTAGTTTACACAGCACACTTTATGAATGCCTGGATCCACTCCATTAAGAATATTTCAACAGCCCGTCGGTGCCCCCTCTTCAAAGAGTTCAACAGCACACATTATTGGTTGTAGAGGACACTGAGTAAAATACAGCAGCACAACTCAGTAGGAGAGGACAGAAGTTTATCAGGATGCAAGGGATGTTGTGCCACGTGCTGAAAGGAGGGGAGGGATTGCTTGCCAGGAGTGATGTGTGGGTTTGCTGGTGAGGCGAGAGCTTTGATGAAATTTGTGCATGTCAGAGTTGAGCTCGTATCTCTCCGGCTGCAGAGACGCCACAATGACAGACGCTCTGTCTACAGAGAATTGGCACAGGGTGCCAAAGATTCATGATTGTTCCTTCTCAAGGCTCTCTGACATATCAATAATAGAGGTATCAATTCAAAATAGAATGTGGATGGTCTCTTTAACAAAACCCCACAGCATTCATTGGACCAGCTGAGCTGTATGTGTAATGTTGTTTTGATATTCTAGCCAAAGACAAATAAATATGTTTGTCTAAAAGAGCATGCTCAAACATTTATGTCAATTGTTACTTTTTAATATTAGCAGGATTGAAGTTAACACTTACAGTACATTTCAATTTGTTAATATTATTTAATGCATTAGGTTTAAAAATAAGTGCACTAAATTTTGTTAAATGTGCATGTATAGTGTACTTCAAATCTTAAAAGTATTTTTTTTTTAACTGTACTGGCAGATAATATATTATTAATTAAGTAAAAGTTAACTTACACTAAGAGTAATTAAACAGACTTTCATGACTTTCATGACTGTTTCTTAACAGAGGAATAGTTCACCCAAAAATAAAAATTTGCTGAAAATGTACTCCATCCAATAGACAGGCCACCCAATATGTATATTAATCTGTTTCTTTATCAGAACAGATTTGGGGAGATTTAGCATTACATCACTTGCCCACCAATGGATCCTCTGCAGTGAATGGGTGCCGTCAGAATGAGAGTCCAAACAGCTGATAAAAACATCACAAGTAGTCCACGCAACACCATTCCATCAATTAACACTTGTGACGTGAAAAGCTGCATGTTTGTAATAAACAAATCCATCATTAGGGTGTTTAAATTTAAAACTGTTTCTTCTGAACTAAATACGAGTCCATAATCCATAATATATCTTCCTCCAGTGAAAAATTCCATCAAATGTTGTCCTTTAATATCAAAATCCACCAACATATTTGTTTAGAACTCTTTCTGGACTGTTTTCACTTGTAAACAGTGCTTGATCTGTGCATATTTCTTTCCTGATTCATACAAGATTACTTTTTCACTGGAGAAATCGATATTATGGATAGAGGACTCATATTTTAGCCAAAAGCACCAGATTGAAGTTAAAAGTGTCTTAATGATGAATTTATTTCAAACAAGCTTTTCATTTCACAAGATGTTAATTGATGGACTGGAGTCACATGGATTACTTGTGTATTATCGTGATGTTTTTATCAGCTATTTGGACTCTCATTCTCATTCGGCACCCATTCACTGCAGAGGATCCATTGGTGAGCAAGGGATGTAATGCTATATTTCTCCAAATATGTTCTCAGGATGAAACAAAGTTATCTACATCTTGGATGACCTGAGGGTAAATTTTCAGCAGTTTTTTATTTTTGGACGAACTGTTCCTTTTAGTACATTTCTTAATAATGTCAAACTAAAAGTTTTTCTTTAAAGAAAATTTAAATCATCATGTTTTAATAATCTTTTGTTGGGCTTTAAAGAAGTACACTAATTTTTAGGTGCTGACTAACATACTGAATAACATGTTTGTTCCTTCTCAAGGTTCTCTGACATATCAACAATAGAAGAATCAATTCACAATAGAATGGGGATGTTTTTTTTAACAAAACCCCACAGCGTTCAGTGGTCTAGCTGAGCTGTATGTGTAAAGTTGTTGTTTTGTTATTGTTTGTGCTTTCAGGTTATGGGATCGGGCTGCCCCAGAACTCCCCTCTCACTCGCAATGTGTCTGAATATGTCAGCCGCTACAAGTCTGAAGGTTACATGGACATACTGCACGACAAGTGGTATAAAGTGGTTCCCTGTGGAAAGAGGGTTTTTGCTGTGACAGAGGTGAGCCATCAAAAAAGAAAGTCTGAATATGTGTGTGCGTGTGTGTTTTTATTCACAGGCGAGTGAGTGGCTTCTGCCCTTGGCCAAGATTCTCTTTGAGCTCTTTTCCCCCTGAAAAATCCTTTTGTTTGGAATTACTGTCTCCTGCAGTTTAATAGCCGTTCTGTCAGAGCAACGTCGGGCCACCACAATCCATTTTCATTCCTGAGGGCTTCATGCCAGCCGTACCGCCCCGCACACCTGAGGCTGTGAGTAGCAGCCACCAGCGCACTCCATCAATGGAGCCTCAGTCAATAACCTCCCATGAGTTGTAGCGCTCCTGTAAGACATTGTCTCGGACAGTCTGGCTTCATTACCTAGCTGTGATTATGAATGAGGGACTTCATGAGCACAAGCAATGACATTTGTTTTCGGCCCGTGTGCCAGCTGGAACTCATCTCACGTTCTCCCTCTCTCTTGCTCCAGAGCCAAGCTGTCCTATCACCACAGACACCACGCTGTAAAACCACTACTTTGCTGTGCAATAAATTCTCCAAACAAGCAGACGGGATCGACCGTGAGGTCCTCACAGTCAGTCGTCCTCTTTGAATGTTTATTCTAGAGCTGTTTATAGAAGAAATTTCAAATGCAAAAGCAGCATTTTATATCCTTAGCGTAATTCAGTCTTAATTTAATTTGTCAGAATTCTTCAAAGGGCATCTTGGTTTGTAGCCAGATACAAAGATGCAGGGTTGAAAGAGATGGGGAATAGCAACAATCCAACATTAAGTGCTGCATTTGGCGTTCTCTCAAAATAAATGAATAAACAAATGCCAGAATTTGTTCCTTAATATTACTTTGTTCACAGTTAAAGCACTTCTGTGGATTTTGTGCCTACAGAGTGTATAAAGCCAACGACAAATACATGTTTGTCTAAAAGAGTACCTTTTTGTGGGAGTATGTTTAATATTTTAACATGAGCAGGATTGAAGGTAATGCATTACAGAGAGGGTAATTCATTAGGTGTACCCTTGTAAAAAAAATTAAATAAAATAAAAAAGGTGGTGTATTTAATTGTAATGAATGTGCACTTGTAATTTACTTCAAATCTTAAATTAGTGTTTTATCCAATATTACATTTACTAAATTGCAACTTAATCTTTACCAATGTGTAATTACCTATATATATATATATACAGTGGGTACGGAAAGTATTCAGACCCCCTTAAATTTTTCACTGTTATATTGCAGCCATTTGCTAAAATCATTTAAGTAAATTTTTTTTCCTCATTAATGTACACACAGCACCCCATATTGACAGAAAAACACAGAATTGTTGACATTTTTGCAGATTTATTAAAAAAGAAAAACTGAAATATCACATGGTCCTAAGTATTCAGACCCTTTGCTCAGTATTTAGTAGAAGCACCCTTTTGATCGAATACAGCCATGAGTCTTTTTGGGAAAGATCCAACAAGTTTTTCACACCTGGATTTGAGGATCCTCTGCCATTCCTCCTTGCAGAGCCTCTCCAGTTCTGTCAGGTTGGATAGTAAACGTTGGTGGACAGCCATTTTTAGGTCTCTCCAGAGATGCGGGTCTGAATACTTTCCGTACCCACTGTATATATATATGTATATATATATATATATATATATATCATACGTCATGACAGACAAGTTTTAATAGAGGGTGAGTGTCTGATGCCAGTTTTGTGGGAGATCGTGGAACAGCTTCCAAGGAGTCGTTGGAGGATCGCGGGAGAACCAGAAGGCAAGTCTTTCTAGGAGAATATCATATAGAGAGTCCAGGACAGTCCATAGGAGTGAACGGTAGACCGCACAGTGAATGACTGATGTGTGTGTATTTGTAGTGTGGCTTGATTGGTGACAGCAGGTGCGGGTGATTAGAACTCGGGTGACTGTGATTGGGTGATTGACCTGGCTGGTGACTGCAGTGACTGATGAATCCCTGACATTACCCCTACCCCCCAGGGGCGGCTCCTGACACCCTCATGCGGCGACGGGGGCGGCCACGGCTTCTGGGTGCAGGGTGACCAGGATGGGTGCGATGGAAGTCCTCCAGTAGTAAAGGGTCCAGAATGTTGTCCCTGGCCACCTGAGTATGCACTGTCGTCCCTGGGTACCCGAGTATGCCCTGAAACGACGTGAGGCCGGTGGTGGTCTGGGTCAGGGAATTCTGTGCATACTCGGCCCAAGGGAGGAAACGGCTCCAGCTGTGTTGGTCATCGTGACAGTATGCCCGGAGGTAACGCCAGAGTTCCTGGATCTTCCTCTCAGTCTGGCCATTTGTCTGGGTATGGTAGCCGGAGGATAAGTTGACCATGACCCCTAGTAGTCGGAAGAATGTCCTCCAAACGCGGGAGATAAACTGAGGTCCCCTGTCAGAGACTACATTCTCGGGGACTCCAAAGTTTCTGAAGACGCGAGTGAATAAACTTTCTGCAGTGTCGAGAGTGGTTGGAAGTCCTGGGAGGGGGATTAGCTTACAGGCTTTGGAAAAACGATCTACGACCACCAAGATAAAGGTATTCCCCTCTGAGTTGGGTAAGTCAGTCACAAAATCGATTGCCAGGTGAGACCAGGGTCGATGGGGAATCGGCAGGGGCACTAGCTTGCCTACGGGGAGGTGACGAGGGGTCTTGGACATGGCACAGACTGAACAACCTCGGACGTACCTGATAACATCCTGGGTCTTACTGGGCCACCAGTACCGAGCTTGGAGGAGCGAGAGGGTCTGCTGGCTGCCTGGGTGTCCAGAGCCCGGTACATTTTGAACGTAGCCCAGAAGGGATTGTCATTGGGGAGTGGGCACATACGTTTTCCATTCTGGGCCTCCCAGCGGAGCAGGTTCAGTAAGAGTGGCGGCTCGAATGTCCTAGTCGATGTTCCATTTAATGGGGCTTACAATCAAGGCTGCTCGTGCTCATTTCCCGGGCAGATGGAGACAATTCAATAGGTCCTGGGATATGAAATTGCCCAAGGAGCCCGAGTCGACGAGGGCAGGGACTGAAACAGAAAGGTCTGGGGTGAATAGTTGTACCGATAGCATTGACAAAGTGGAAACGACAGGGTCTAGTTGGAGGGTACTCACCGCAGGACGTGAGAGTCTGACTGGGCAGGTCCTGATGTAATGATCCGCCGCAACGCAGTATAGACCGACCGGCTGCGAGACAGCGAGCACGTTCTGACGGGGTGAGCCGTGAGGTGTCCACTTGCATCGGCTCTGGTACTGGGGAACCCGTGCCGGGCGTGACAGACTGGTGGGCGGCTTCGGTGGCTTGGCAGGTGGACAGACGCTGGGAAATTCGGTTGGCCCTTTGCATGAAGCTTTCCAGTCCAACGGAGTCATCATAGATAGCCATTTGAGCTTGTAAATGGGAATTCAATCCTTGCCGATAAGAGCCAATTAGGGCCACCTCATTCCACCCGCTAGTTGCCGCCAGCGTTCTGAACCGCAGGGTGTAGTAGTGAATGGATGACGTGCCTTGGCGCAGCCGCAGTAACTGGTCGGACCCCAATAGCACTCCTGCAGTGTGGCCAAAGACTTCTTTGAAATGGTTAGTGAAAGCATCATATTAATTAATTATGGCACTATTAGCTTTCCATATGGCCTTAGCCCACAACAGCGCTCTGCCATTAAGGGAAATCAGGAATGCTACCTTAGTGTGTTCGGTGGAAAATTTCTGCGGCTGCATCTCGATGAACAAGGCCACTTGCAGGAGGAAGCTGCCACACTCAGCTGCATCACCCGTGTATGAAGCAGGCATGGCCATGGGACTGACAGAGGCAGATTGGGGGGGGTTGTCGGAGGAAGCAGGGAAGCCCGGAGGGCATTTACCAGCTCCTCCAGGACTTCCGCATGTGTGGGAGGTCAAGGATCCATGGCGGTATTTGTATAGGCCCGGTCTTCTGTCATAAAGCAAGGCCAGATACAACGGGTAAGTGAAAGACAGGATGGTTTATTGATACAAGATGTGGAGGAGTGGAACGGGTTAGGTTAAGGCAGGTGAGTGTCAACAGAGTGAATGATTCCAGGGTTCTTATCGGAGTTCTGAGGGTGAGTGTCTGATGCCGGTTTCGTGGGAGATCGTGGAACAGCTTCCAAGGAGTCGTTGGAGGATCGCGGGAGAACCAGAAGGTAAGTCTTTCTATGAGAATATCATATAGAGAGTCCAGACCAGTCCATAGGCATGAACAGTAGACCAGACAGTGAGTGACTGTGATGTGTGTGTATTTGTAGTGTGGCTTGATTGGTGACAGCAGGTGCGGGTGATTAGAACTCAGGTGACTGTGATCGGGTGATTATCCTGGCTGGTAACTGCAGTGACTGTGATGAATCCCTGACAGCCTGTCTGTACATTTGACAGTGTTTACATTTAGTTCACTTAATGTTAAGTATATTATTTTAAAGTATATTACTTTACAGTAAATCCTGTTTGTTAACATTAGTTAATGCATAGCTAATATGGTCTTTGTTAATGTTAGTAAATAAAAGTATAACTGTTCATAGTTTTGTTTGTTAGTTCACAGTGCATTAATTAATGTTAACAAATACAACTTTTGATTTTAAATATATATTATTAAATTTTGAAATTAACATTTAATAGAAGTTAATTCATGTTAACTAATGTAGTTAACTAATGTTAGCTAATTAAACCTTATAAAATTTTTCCATTATTTCCTTTATAAGTAAAGTATGCTAACGTGTATTTCTGTTTCACAAGGGTCATTAAGCTAACAATTAGCGTCATTACAAATGTAATTAAAGAAATTAGTTACAAATGTAATCACATGCAGGTATTTTTAATATAAGTATGTGAATGTTAGTAATTAAAGATACTTAATATAAAGTTGGTCCACCTAGATACTCTTGTGTTAATTCATGTGTGTTCAAAATACATCATAATTCATGTGTTCAAAATACATAATAAATTCATTTTAATTACAACTTGAAATGTTAAACATGAATTGATGTGTATATAAATTAACATTAAATTAATAAATCCTAACATATAACATCTAACTGCATCCTCGTAAAAAAAAAATATATGATTTTCTTTTTTTTTTCTTTGCTCTCACTATCCCTTATTCCCATCCTGCCCTACTTTTACTATTTTGAACGACGATGGAAATCTTGTGTAACTGGCACTTCTTGTGTTTATTGCCATGCCATCCTATGTTGAATCACTTGTTCTATTGCACAAGTTGCTTTGGATAAAAGCATCTGCTAATTGAATAAATGTAAATTTAAATGTAACGTATAGAACCTTATTGTAAAGAGTTACCGCATTTAATGAAATCAGAGCAGCCAACATGAAGTGCAGTGAACATTTCATCTGACCAGTAGCGTGCATGCATGTGCATTTAGCCACTATCCCCTTCTATAACACTCTCTTGGAAACTGACATCATGATAAACGGCTGCAGCCAATCCTGTTATGTGTTAAGAATAAACACACTCACAGAAGAGGTAGCAGGACTGCGATGGAGTGAACATGGGACTGCAGTCTCAGTGTGTGCAATCTTAGATGACCAATGAGTGCCTTATATTGAGACATATATGAGAGACAGGAAGTGGAATATTTTCCCCTTTTCAGCTACTCCATGTAAGGATGACTTTCATTTCAATTATAACAGCAATACTTTATATAATTGTGATTAGTTCTAGTCAGCAGGACTCCTTCTCCCTCCAGATCAAAGCCATTGCAGGGAATGATAGATTCCTTTGTGTATGTTGGGGCTTCTAATACCCGAGGGGAAAATAACGCTGGGCCAGGCACTGGAAGGCCTATAATACCTGGAGAGAGCTAAATGTTAAGATTCACATAAGAAGACGTAAAAAACGAGCATTTTTGAAACATCTGTTGTAATATGAAATGAATTATTGGTGATTTATAGGTTGCTTGCAAAAAAAAGATATATTACATCAGAAAACTGTCATCAACTTCTTTAAAATGCCTGACTGCTTGTTCAGGTAGATAGATGCTGTAAAAACAGAAGGCTTTTTTTCCATTATTGGCCAATGAAAAATATCTACAGTATAAATAATAAACAAATAATGGAACACATTAATGTTCAAAAATTTGGGGTCGGTAAGATTTTTTAAATGTTTTTGAAAAAAGTCTCTTACTTAGCAAGGCTATGTTTATTTGATCAAAAATACAGTAAAAGCATTAATATTGAGAAATATTACTACAATTTAAAATAACTGTATTGTATATGAATATGTTTTAAAATTAAATGTATTCCTGTAAGGCAACGCTGAATTTTTAGCAGGCTTTAAAGTCACATGGTGCTTCAGAAATCATTCTAATATGCTGATTTGGTGCTCAAAAAACAGTGTTGAAAATAGTTGTGCAGCATTAAAAAAAAAAAAAGATGCATTCTCTGGGGAAAAGGTGCAGTCAGCAGCAGAGCTGTATTACACTGTGATCTTCTCTTGTGTGTTTTTAATTATTGTTGTTCATGTGTGTGCAGACTCTGCAGATGGGTATCCAGCATTTCTCGGGGCTGTTCGTGCTGTTGTGTGTGGGGGTGGCAGGTGCTTTACTCACTCTGCTGGGAGAGCACACTTTCTTCAGATTCATCCTGCCTCACCTGCGCCACCAGCAGAGATTCAAATACTGGCTCCACACCAGTCAGGTGAGCTCCTGCCTCCAAATGCTACAGCTGACAAACTTGGTAAAAAAAAAAAAAAAAAACAGATCGGTGTATAAAGGCTGATAACACTAAAGTAGTGCCAGTTAACTAAAGGAATTACTTTTTTCACTCTTATCTCTTTTAAATCTTATTCAAGATCTTATTCAAGAAGGCATGTTGCTGTCATAAACACAGGTGCATCCACTCCCTCTAGTGTTAGGAAGCTGAAAGCACAAGTCAGTAGTCTACAGTATATGTGGTAGGCCTATCTTGTATTTGATTATGTATATACTGCGTATGACTGTTGTTCTGTCCTTTTTCTATTTCTACAGAAAATCCACCGTGCATTAAATATGGGTTGTGATGATGAGAGGAAATCAGAGTTTGAGAGTAGTGACAGATGGTAAGTTAGGATTTTTGCGTAATAAATTGACAAATGACCACACTTTCTTAAAAGTGCAATGGAATGAAGTAATTCTCCTCATTGAAATTTAGACTAATGTTATTGTCAAATTACAGCAATTCTGGAATGGGCCTATTCTGATGGCTAATTAGCGGCATGCTGTGGTCAAATATTTCTGTATAATGAACACTAATCTATATAATTGTCCATTGTCACAGGCAAACGATCTTCAATAATATGCAGCTGTGCTGGTTTTGTGCCTCTCATATCATTCACTGAACTCATAATACATTATAAAATCATTTAATTCAGATAAATGTTGCATGACCATTTATTTATTTGGTAAGTGGCTATTTAACCCCATATATATACATAAAGTAATAGTCAGAATATATATATATATATACATATATATACTATAAATGTCTTTTACGTAAAAAAAAGTAGTAACAACTATCAATCAATCTACAGAAGGCATGTAATAGATGTGCAAAATGTGCAAAACCGGGTTTTCAGCAAAGTTTTGATTATGTTGATCATGTAATTTAGAGACCTTAGAATTTTGCATATCAAATATGATACTGTAGCATTTATAGGGTTAATAAGTTGTATGATGTACAGTTAGCCAGTCACATAGATTGATTGAAACAGGATCACTCTATCACCCTTTATTTTGAGATAAAGTCCAGCATACACTGTACACTATCATTTGCATAGTGTGTATAATAAAATAGTATTGTTTTGAACTAATGTGTGCAATTATTGTTATGTTTAAAAAAAAAACTCTAAGAAAGAAATTATAACGCAAAGGACAAAAATCAATATTGTACTCTCCAGTAAAAAGCGAGCAGATACTGTTTCATTAATGGCATATTGAAGAGACTCTGTGTTTCCATTGATTGTGGGGTCTGTTTGTGAATTGCTGTGCCCCTGCATCTTGTAAAACTGATTGCTGCTGTGTTTTCCTCTCAGTCCCACCTTGTGCCTGTCAGAGAACTGTAATCTCCACCGCCTGCCACCCTCCACTTCTTCTCCTCCGCCTCCCACCTCCTCGACTTCCCCTTCCACTTCTACAACCAAGTGGAACAATCAGAGCGCCAAGGTCGGTCGAGAGGCCAAAGAGCATAACAAGCGTGTCCACTTCAACTTGGAGACTCTCAACAGCTACCAACTCCAAGCTCTGCCCACTGGGCCAGAAAGGGGCAGGCGGGGGTTGGTGGGAAGTCCGCCCACCCAGTTGTGTTCCAACGGCGGTCCTAATCTCAGTCTGAGCCTGGTTCTCTCACCCCCGGCCTGTTCTGGACTCTCAACACCATGGGAAGAGGAGCTGCGGGAGCTTCAAGGGAGGATCGAGGAGTTTCGAGGCCAGCTCAGAGCCGCCCTGGCCAGGCGAGCCGAGCTCCAGCGGACCCTGGCCAGACAACAGCTCGGTCAATCTCAAATAAACTCAGCATCTAATCTCACCACCACAACTACCACCACCAACACCCTGACCAAAGACATCAACAAGGGGAGGTGATGTTTGGTACGTGGCAGGAGACTCACAAAGGCAGTGGGTATGAGGGGATAAGGGACATCCTCTCATCTGAGAAGTCACACCACGCTGTTTTCTGCCTTCTCCTTTCTCAATGACTGCTGGAGTGCTGTAGTGATGGATGAAACACTCTGTGATGGAGATTCATCTTGTAATCCTGCAGTCTGGCTGGCTTCCAGCTCCAGAGAGAAAGCATTTATCTGTGTGTGTGTGTGTGTGTGTGTGTGTGTGTGTGTGTGTGTGTGTGTGTGTGTGTGTGTGTGTGTGTGTGTGTGTGTGTGTGTGTGTGTGTGTGTGTGTGTGTGTATGTGTGCGATTAAAGCCAGGCAACTGAACAGAGAACAGACACTTCATGCAACCATTCACTGCTGGCCAAGGCGAATATCTGCATCCACAGACATCCAGCATGAAAATGGCTTCATTTTGTAAATAATTCAATGGGATTACTTAGTGGGATAAGCAACAATGCCTCGGACGGCAGGCCCATGGACCACCCACAATCCGTTCAATGACCGCCTGATGCATATTGATACTGATGCACATATATGCACGCAAAAATAACAGCTTCAGTTCTGATCTGATTGGCAGGTGTTTAGCAACTTCCGGGAATAAAGGCACAAAGGTTTTTTTTAATCAGTCGTCATGGTCAAGTTAAGGGTTGATACAATGAACATTTTTGAGGAGGAACCAATTACTGGATTTGCAAAAGTTTGGAAGGTTAATAACATCAGGATTTGAGGCTTGAGGCACTTAACTAGACATCCACTAGCAGAACAATATTCAAAGAATTTCATGCAGAAATTCAGGGTCTATACACATGTTCTGCTATTTTTGAGGTGTTTCATATAAAACCATTGGCGAAAATAGTCAGAAATGAATTCAAATTACAGAATAAATAATCGTGGCCACAAATTAAGAATTCATTCCCGCAAATTATTACATTTTATTTCATTTTCATTCCCTCATTTTAGTTCAATTGTGGCCACTGTGTACTAATTAGTTCCCTTATTTTAAAGTATGGCCACATCGAAGTGATCTGTTCCCTCATTTGAATTAAAACGAGAAAACAAATTAGTACAACATAGCTATGTTTTAACTACAACAAGCGAACCAATTAATAAGTCGTGGCCACAATATCTTCTTTTTTTTCCTCTGCCGATCATGTGCAGAGCTCCGTATATTTGTAACTATTAGTATGATATAATCTATTTCAGATAATCGTGATCCTAAAAGGCCACGTAAAAACAAAATGGACTGTGGTTGATTGTTTTACAGGCCAATCAGGTAGACTTTTCCTGTCTGAGTGGGCGGTTCTTGGCCAAAATAAGCTGCCATGGACCAAACTTTCAATTTGAACTAAACCGTTACTTGTCTTGCTGTGGTGTACTTTTTCCACACTTATAATGTTTGAATAAATATGTCATTTGCTTGTGTGTTTTAATGGTGATAAAATATGATTCTGTCTGAGATGTTTGATGCTCAAATATCACAGGCCTACGTATATATAATCTAAATGTTATGAAGTCTGATGAAAAAATGTGATATTGCATTTACTATTATTAATAAGCATTTTCAAATAAACATTTATTAGTTAAATCAGTTTCACTTTTAGCACTTTTGGTTTGTGAAGTCACTTAACATTGAGTTAATTTGCACTAGTTATTTCCCTTAGTTATTATTTCTGTAATATGACTGTCAGCTTTTATGCTTGATTCAATGGCAATTTTATAAAATGAGTGATTAGTAAACAATGTTAAACTAGGTTAACAGTCTGAAATGTTGGTTGTAGCTGTCAAATTCTTCCACTATTGCAAGATGATGGTGTTCTCGCATTCATTTTCAGAGTGAACTTCAAAGCAAGTTTTTAGAGCAAACTGTCTGAGGGAGACTGTCAGGGGGCTGAGGGGGAGACTGTGACTGATAGACGAGCAGCCAGTTTCCATTGGGACACTGATGAACAATGACCTCATTATGTTATGAGTTGCAGTGTTTTTTTTTTGTGAGCATGCTTGGCTGGGCATTAAGTGTTTGATAAAAAAGTTAGTGTCAGTGTTTGACAGTCCTTACTAGTCTTACTAGTCCCTTAGGAGCTCAAGTGTGTTTCAGGCTAAATTCTTAGTTTGAATCCATGTAACATAACTCTGATTTGAGAAGGCGGCAAAATGAAAAATAGTGTCTGCTAGTGTCTACCAATCAAACACTTTAGAATGAGTTGTGAATTATTACCAGGTTTAATTGAAGGTTGATTTAATTAAAGTTAAAGAAAATTATGTCATGATCATGAGAAAAACTATTTTGTTACATCGAGATCTCAAGAAAACAACTTTTGTTGTGTTGAAATCACAAGAAAACAACTATTTTGTTACATCGAGATCTTGAGAAAATGAGTTTTTTATGTTAAGATTATTAAATCATGATCACGAGTAAACAACTTGGACGCTGTACTTTACTAAAGCAACTAAAATACTTTAGAAACAATACCTGACAAAAAAAACTCAATTTAATTTAGATCCTTAAAACAGCCAATTAAATTCAAGTTTATTTATATAGTGCTTTTTTACAGTAAATTTTGTTTCAAAGCAGCATCACATGCGTGTTTCAATATTACAGTCAGGAAGTACTGTTCAGAAATTAATGTATCAAAGTAATGCTCATATGGCAGTAATATACAGCTATGAGATAAGTTATATTTAGTAAACATCATGTATTCCATTAAGCACACACAATGATGTTAGGTAATGATAAGCTTGTGATTATGATGATTACAATATAAGGATAATAAGGAAATACATTTTAGTATAAAATGTAATCTGTCACAACTATGATCATTCATCAATGAGATCATTGTGTCACAGTTTTTGTCTTTGTAGCTCCGCTATGATTATTGCCTGTCATTCTCGTGAGCCTCATGCTGTAGCCCTTAGCTGTAGTGCACCCTGCTGCTACAGTTTACACAACATGACCTGAGCGAGAGCTGCCATATGGCGATGCTTCATGCCCCACACAGCCTGACACCGAGTGCTCTCAAGAGAAAAATCTGTGTCCATTATTAATAACTAGTTGCTAGCTCAAATCTCAATCTATTATCTTAATAATACTAATAAAAATATTACCTGTCATTTTAAAATGGTTGCTAGCAGTGCAACTGTAGGTAAGTTTGTGTGATTATTTAACGTAAATCTAAATAAAGAATTAAAAATATAAACCTGGTGGGGACTGTAGTTCAGCTGAAGAAATAAATGAGCAATGGGTTTTGATTATCTTTCCTGTGGTGTATACTTTAGTAATTGTTTTATCACTTTTCAATCTCTATAGTGAGTCAGAGAGTAGAGAATGTCATGAGAAACTTATAGAACTGAGCTTATACATCAGTTATAATTATACAACGTGTCTGAAAACTTGAACAGAAAAAAGAATCGGGGCTCAGACCTTGCTTGCATCCTGAACTTAGTTGGAGACTAAAATTGCCCTTCATTTAGCCTATATAATGGTTTGTTTTTTTCAGAAAAATATATCCATGCATGTTTTATGTGCAGCTTGTACTTCTCAGAAACAATTGTCAAAGAATACAAAGCCTGTAGCACAGATGGCATGATAGATAATTTACCAAAAGCAAGTACCTGTGTATAGTTCTAATGAAATATCATCTGCCGTGAAAAGACAGAAGATGGCTGTGAGGAATAAAGTCTCAGTGAGAAATTTAAATTCTAGTTTTAAGAGATTTGTGAATGGTGCACATGTACAGGGCATGTGAAGGCAAACTTTGAATGTATGCTTCAACACATACATCAGCTCTATCATCCAGAGACATTGATTTTTCTTCAACTGTCTGCTACACAGATGACATGCAGCTATTCATCTAGTTCTAGCTGGACAGCCTGCAGTGCACGGATCTATGCTTACTTTGCAGACGTCTCAGCCTGAGTGAAAGAACATCACCTTCAACCCAACCTATAGCGGAGACAGAGCTTGACATTTTCTCAGCTGGTCCAGTGATTCAACATCACACAAAACAGACATAAAGGTCGTACAAAAGCATGCTGTGAACACTTCTGCTAACAACTGCTCTTACACTTAAAACCATTTAAAAACTATTATTTTACTTTGTCTTCAGTGTGTTGCTTCACTCACCAAAAAAGTTTTTGGAGTAGACATAGTGCAGAGGACATTAAATATTGATGCTTTTGACTGTGTCATTGTGTAACGGATGGACAAATCATGCACAATATTATTTGTTATATTTAACAAATAATCCAATAGACCCAACAATCGGACTGGGTTCCGGGATGTCTGTGAACAACCACTCAGAACACTGGTTACCATGGCAGCCAGGACACCTCAGCCAGATAACAGCTTTTATGGCCCAATGGTATTCACCTCACCCCACTGGAAGTCACTTTGAAACATACACATACTGCCCATCGGAAAGGACTTATTTCATTAATTAATACCCAGACCTTTCTATGCATTAAATGCATATGCCCAGGTCATTGTGTGTATGATAATTACTATCTTGTATAGAGTATTGTATACTGTTTTATGTGTGCTTATAGAATCACTAATGTAACCTCACCTATACCATGTTTGCTATCTATGAATTCGTATTTTGATGATCTAAATGAGAGTGTATATTATATGTTGATACCTATGCAACATATTAGTGTTCTAAGAATATTTAACGCTTGTTCAACGGCCAAGGCAATGCAAGTATCGTACATTGAACTAAACGAAACAGAGGTTTAGTATAAGCTGTACCCCATTGTAAAACGGTGCTGATGGTTTCAGCTCAGGTGGTTAACTGACTCATATTCCATAGCTGCATTCTCTGGTTTCTCGAACGGTGTGTGTGTGTGTGTGTGTGTGTGTGTGTGTGTGTGTTAGACCAGTTATATGTTAGTGTTTAGTTAATAAAACTTTTGTGCACAAATTATATGAGTTTATGATTCTGTCACTGCTTGTGGTAAATGTCCCTTTTACAATCCGAACTTGTTGCATGCTCTAATGCACTAGTACTGTAAGAAAGTGATTTTCTATGGCCACGAAAATATAATTTCATTGAGCTGATGTGAAATGACATTGAATGTTCACTGGACGCACAGATTAGTTGATGGTAATATTAATTCTGCTACAGTTACTTCTGGCAGCTGATATAAATAATTGTAATTAATTATAATCAATTGCATTTGTTTATGTAGATT